AATTTGTAACCTTTCCAGTTCATTTGCCTAGTCAATCAAACTTACAAAGAATAACGTTTTGGTCCCCTCCAGATTAAGCCGTTTAAGACAAAAAAGGCCTTATTTCCAAAACCTCTCACGCAACCTCGTACAGTCGACTCTCGATAACTCGAACTTTCAAGGGAAATCGAAAAAAGTTCGAGTTATCTGGAGCTCGACGAAAATAGCCGAGAGTAAGATAAAAAACAATTTTTACTGCACAGTGAACATTTTATACACATTTAATTCTAGAAATGTCAAGTGAAAATTAAAAGATACTTCTAGATTATAAACCAGAACGTAACGTAACAAAACATAGCCTAAATAGAGCATGCGTTTTACTGTTTTGAGAAGTAAAGCAGCTTCACGTTAGCCTGTGACAATCAACGTCAGCCTCCACTATACTCCTACAACTCGTTAATAGGAAATCCAAAATTCAATGTTTCGGACGCCAGTAGACGGCTTTTTTCCCGACTTTTGAAGGGCTCAAAACATGGTTCGAGTTATCGAGGTTAAAATTGTATAGGAAATGACCTGAGGGGAAACGAAAATTGGTTCGAGTTAGCGGGAGTTCGAGTTATCGAGAGTTCGATTTACCGAGGGTAAAATTACAGTGAAAGTATTACGGAAATCCAGGGGAAATCGATTTTGGTTCTAGTTAGCGCGAGGTTCGAGTTAGCGAGGGTTCGCGTTATCGGGAGTCGCTGTAATTCCCGGAAGGAGGGAACAGTGGGACGAGGTTGCCTCCCACGCAGGCCCTTTTAGGGTCTTGGGCTTGTGGGATCAGGCCACGTTTTTACCTTGTATAGTCTTACAAAATAGTGCTAGTTTTTTTACGGGAGAGTGTTTTTAGTGTTCGTAGCAGAGGGCTATTTTTAGGGCGAAAGAAGAGATTGCGAGGACGCGCTCGTCCGTACGTTCCCCTCGTGCGTTCTTTAAAAACTAACCAGAAAAAATTAACTGGCGCAGACTAATTGTTTTTTTTTTTCTGGATTATTAAATATTAATATTAACATTAACTTGTCTGTCTCTTCCCAGTCCCTTCTTCTCCCTCAGATGGGGCTCAGGCGAAAACAGGTGAGTTCTCGTAATTTTGATGGGCGTGGTGCATGAAGGGACGATCTCTATTGCGGGCACCTTTTTCGTAGGGTAGGATTATCAGAAACGGGTGCCTTGAACTGTTATAACTAGGAAAACCAAATTAAGATTATCCCTCCAACTGAAGGGGCAGAAAGCGCATTTGTATGCCAGACTTTCATGAAAGTCTTGACTAACATCGATTGAAAACTAGATTGATGACAAATGTTTCTGCTTTGATTGTGACTAGCCGACGAAAAGGGGGAAAGGAAGGAACAGGCAGTCCCCCGAAACGAGAAAAAACAAGGGAAAGGGCGCTAAAACCCTTGATCACCTCCCTTGCTTAGACTGAGAAGAAAGGAAACTATGCACAGTGTACTTGTGGTTAACGTTTTTAAGTCTTTTTGATTTTGGAGAAACGAAAGGCAAGACCCCATACTTCCGTTGCAATAAAGTGCAAAGATAATTCGACAGTTAGCGTTTCGATTGAGACTAATATGACAGGAAAAGGTAAATTTTACAATAATGTCTCTTTAAAATGTCTATGTGTGCTAACTTTATAAATTTCTTTCCCCAAAAGGCTTGTCAAGAATCACTCCAGAAAGCGACGAGACACACATTAATCAAGGTGTGGCACTTGACCTACTTTTACCTCTTGTTTCGCCCTGTAATGCCTAGGCAGTTTATTGAGACTTTCTTAGGGGCTGTTTACATGGAGGGAGGAAGATCCTAGTACCAGGAAGATCGTAGAGGGCGGATCATCCTAGCGCC